GGTGTGACTATTATTCCCATTTTATAGATTAAAAAACTGAGGCACAGAGAAGCTAGCGAGCCCTCCAAAGCGTCACCTCTAAGAAGCAGTGCAAGCAGAATTTAAACCCAGCAGTCAGCTTTAAAGATTGAGCTATTTCTTACTGCAGCACAGACCCCGGGGAGAAGGCAATATCTGCTCAGCAGTCGGCCTGCAGCCCTTACCTGTAATGGACACTAATTAGCTGATCTGCTCATCAGTTCTCAGGAAGAGGTTTGGCCTGTCTTGTCTGCGGGCTGTGGCGAGCTTTTTGTTAAGTATATATCTCAAGCTGGGAAAATAGTGAGCTATTATTTCCTTTTAGGATATAATATTGCAAATGAGATCTTCCCATGTTTCTAGTTCTCACTTTTGAGACTATGCTCTTAAGGGAGAGAAAATAAGGGACCAATATAGGCTTCTTTGACCCCAGGGATAGCTGTGAGTGGCGAATCTTCAGGGAACTATCCCGCTAGCTTAAGCACAGAACTGTTTACCATGGGGAACAGTTCTCATTCTTCAGTGAAATCATTTAGTCACGGTGCTGACCTCACTCAAGGTCATTAGCCAGACATTGCCTCTGGTTTGCGAATAGCTTTATTCTCTTCTGGACATCCATAATAGTGTGAATCAGGGAGGTTTATCATGTTTAAAAATTATTCCTCATTTTCATTTCATGGATAATCACGTGTTGTACTTCACACACAAGGATGAATCATTGGGATGCAGCGTGGGGTGGAAAGTGCGTGGTTTTAGTGTCGTGTAGACTGGGAGTTCGTTTTTGTCTCTGCTACTTACTCCAGTGTAGTTTTGGGCGAGGCGATAAGCCTCTGGAGCCTCTGGTTCTTCATTTCCCCTTGTAGCTTTGCTGTGGGTATGAGGGACGATCAATGTTAAGCCCACAGCAGGGGGTTGATTGCTCTGGCTGTTAATATCAATATTATAACATATGAACTAGAAGCCTTCCCAACCCACCTGCCAAAGCTCTGACGGCCACTCCCTCAGTGCACAGGACGGTCACCTTCCCCAGGTGAAAGGCAGGCCTCCAGAGGCTGGTGAAAGAGAACAGAAAGACAGCAGCATGGCCCAGTGGTGAAAAGGAAAATCACCTCTGTGCCTTCTGACCACCGCCTGAGCCTGTTTTGCATTGAGACCAATGTCCTGGTGACAGTCTCCTTCGGCTGCGATGGGATCTCACACTGCCGCCTCTTTGATCTGTGGTCTGGCTTTGCGCAGAGAGGGCTGAGCTTGTGCAGGCTTCCATTGTCCCCTAGGATTCACAGGTTGTGACAGTGCAAGGGAAAAACACCAACAGCTCTGCTCTTTTACTTCCTCCCAGAGTTGCTCATCTCCCTGCCTGGCCGAGAAGCCCCTATCCGCCACCCCGAGCAAGCGCTGCTCCTGAGATGCCAGGGAAATGGCGCCCTCTGGTGTTGGCTCAACGCCTGTGTTCAGCACCGGGAGCTGTCCAATTCTGCCTTGAGAGCCAAGTCTCTGCAAAGCAAACTTTATATGCAAAGTCTTGTTTGGCAGAAATCCTTTTCCACAAGAGGTAATCTCTGGACGAAAAGCACTGTGCCTACAATGAGAAGGAATCAGGTGGTTATTGTTTTTAATGGACTTAAGCGTTTGGCAGTTGTACCATAAGCTCAGCATGGAAAAATAAGAGCCCTACAGCGGGGAGAAGATGCTCCCAGTCTCTCGTTCTCTTTATTTTTTTTTATTTTACTTTAAGTTCTGGATCTTGCAGGATTGTTACATAGATGCACACATGTCTCAAGAAGTGCTGTAGAATTGCAGAAGCGATGCCCCCTTCCAGGTGTGACGAGAGAGATATGCGGTTCACTTTCCCTGGTGTGGTCCTGATGAGCTTCAGTCAGATGAGGCGGCCCTTGTTGAACCGCCAGCTGCCGGTTTACTCTTCTCAACTGCAGCAGTTGCATAGACCACCTGGAGTAACAGGGCCTTTCCCTCCCCTGGATGAATTATCCCACTAGATTCAAGGAGAAGGGACTTGGGAGACAGCACCTTTGGCTCTAGGATACTTAAATACCAAATCCCCTCACCCCTTTGCATCTTGCTAGCCCAGAAGAGACTTCAAAGTGATTGTCAGGCATTAGGCTATGAAACCAGAGGTGGGGAAAGCATCGTTTATCAAAAGTGAACGTATGGAACTGCTCCATTCTTTACTTAAACTTAAATCTCTCCATAACCAAGAAGAAAGCGTGATTGAGACATAGATTCTGTCTCTGGGCTTTGTGAAACAACCACCAGGCACCCCGTGGGGGCAGTTCTGCACCAGAGTTTTGGAGAGTGTTAAAGCATGACAATAAGCAGGACTAATAATAGCCTTTGCACTAGACCCCAGGGGACTCCTGGCAGCCTCAATTACTCTAGTTCTTTTTTTCCTTTGCCCTGTATAAGCCGTAGCTGCCCTTGAATGCAGAGGCTTTTAGCCAGAGAATTGGAATTCGCTCTTTCAAACTTGCCGTACATTTCTCCCTCTCTCATCATGTGTTAAACTGTATCTTATCTCAGATGGTTCTGCTTGCTTAATTATTGTTGTCTGCTGTTAATTGCCAGCAGTAATCTAAGTCTAATGTGCTTACTAATGAGCACAGCTTAGGAGTTCCACATGTGAAGATTTATAAGAGTGGTTCCTTCATTATCATCACTAAATGTTCCCATATATATTCTCACTTGACACGTGTAGAGGCAAAAATAATAAAAACTGTAAAGTGCTGTGAGATATGAGAGAGCAAAATGTTCATAAAGGGAAAGTTATGACTGTATCTTGGACTTATAAAATGCTAGCCATTTGCAGGGTCACACAATAGCCAACTGGGATCAGATGCCAGGTTCCCAACTCCTGATTGGGTAAGGTGCCCAATGTGGAGTACTTGTCCCGAAGAACACATATGTATATCCTGCTAGTTGAATTGAGCTTTTGCAAATAAATGAACCAGAATGTTCATTGTGTTATTATTTACAACAGCGAAAGTTTGGAAACAACCCAGATGGCCAGCACTAAGGAAATGGTAAAATAAATGATGATACACTTGTACTAGGAATATTTTCTAAATATTATAAAATTATAATTATGTATCATATACAGATAATTGCAATTATATATTTTACATAAGTATTTAAAAATCATTTTTGGACAATAATGATCTGGTAGAACACTTCCAATATAACGTTGAATGAAACATACCAAGATATAAAACTAAATGCAGATAGTATAACAGCAATTTTTTTTTTTTTTTGAGACGAAGTCTTGCTCTGTCGCCAGGCTGGAGTGCAGTGGCACAATCTCAGCTCACTGCAACCTCCACCTCCTAGGTTCAAGTGATTCTTCCACCTCAGCCTCCCGAGTAGCTGGGACCACAGGCACGTGCCACCCATGCCTGGCTATTTTTTATTTTTTTGTATTTTTAGTAGAGACAGGGTTTCACCATGTTTGCCAGGATGGTCTTCATCTCTTGACCTCGTTATCTGCCATCCTCGGCCTCCCAAAGTGCTGGGATTACAGGCGTGAGCCACCACACCCAGCCCAGCAATTCTTTTTAACATATAATGTAAGAGAAGGAAGAATACATTAAATATTAATAGTGGCTTTTTTGAAGTGGAAGATTATGAGTTATTTTTGTCTCCTTTTGAAACTTTTCTGTATTTTACACGTTTTCTACAATTTGCGTGTCTTAATTAAATTTACAATTAGAAAAACATTTTTAAAATTGTTTCCAGCTATACTTAGAGATAATTGACAAGAATTGTATAAATTAAAAGTGTACAACTTCATGTTTTGGTATGCATCAACATTGTAAAATAATTACCACATCAGGACAAGTAACACACCTACCACCTGACACAGTTACCATTTCCCTTTTTGTAAAAAAAAAAAAAAGTATTTTTAACAGAAAAAAGGTACAGTATAATCAGGGCTTAGTAACTTGGAAGAGATTTTTCTCAGACGGAGAAATGGCATTTACAAAGAATTTTGAAGAAATTCATAGAAACTAGAGCTATTTGCACAACTGCTATGGAATTATTAAATGGCAAAACTTTAGCCTGAGTGAAGAAGACAAGTCAGTATCTTCTGTCTCTTACATTTTGTTCCATTACTTCTTTCTCCAAACAATATCCACTGAGTGATCAGATGTTGTTGCTGAGCACCTGAGCTATTGACTGTTGTAACAGTGGAAACAAGGTCAAGAGAAGCTTCCCTTTCTTTGTATGTGTGTGTATGTCTGGGGCTGTGCAGTGTCAAGCAAGCCTGGAGCTCCAGTAAAATTGTTCAGCTACAAATCTGTTCCCTACACTAACATTCCACTTACTAGAAATAAAATAAACTGAAATTAAAACAATCTCATGTTTTTTGTATACAAAATAGAAAACATTCCTTGATACTACCCCATGGCAAAAATGCCATATGATATAAAATAGTACCATTAATTTGAACTTCAGCTGACAGTAAGTTTCAAGTACAATAAGATAATTTAGCTTTCCATCGAATCATCTCATATCTGGGAATTTATACAAAAGAAAAAAATCAAAAAGAAGAAATGCAACATGCCTAAAGACATTCGTTCCCAGATTATTTCCAACAGCATAAAAGTAGAAGCAACAAGAAGTTCAAAGAAGAGAAGGATTTGTAATAAAATGAAAGCACATTGGAATTGATGTTGTAACCACCCAATGGATTCATTTTTGCCCACTGCCCAGGTAGAGCCAGTTTGTCAAGACAGGGGAATTGCAATAGAGAAAGAGTTTAATTTATGCAGAGCCATCTGAATGGGAAACCATGGTTTTATTATCACTCAAATCAGTCTCCCCAAAAATTCAGACAGAGACTAGGGTTTTTCAAGGACAGTTTGGCAGGTAGGGGGCCAGGGAGTGCTGGTTGGTTGGATCAGAGATGAGATCATAGAGAGTCAAAGCTGTCCTTTTGTGCTGAGTCAGCTCATAGCTGGGGGCCACAGGACTGGTTGTTGGGTCCAGGTGGAGCTACTGGTCATCAGAAATGCAAACACCTGAAAAGACATCTCGAAAGGCCAATCTTCGGTTCTACAGTAGTCAAGTAACTGTCAGGGGTAACTGGGGAAATTGCAAATCTTGTGACCTCTGGAAAAATGGCTGGTAATCATTTATGTCTACACATTAGCAGGACTCAGGCTCTTCTCATCCTCCTAACCTGGTGGCCTTCCATTAGCTTTATGAAGGCGGTTTAGTTTTGGGGAAGGACTATTATCATTTAAACTATAAAGTATATTCCTCTCAAAGTTACCTCGACCCAAGCCCAGGAATGCCTAAGAGAAGCTTGGAGGTTAAGAGCAAGACTGGAGTTGGTTAAATCTTTCACTGTCATCATTTTCTCCCTGTTATAATTTTCACAAAGGTAATTTCAATATTATGAAGTAAAGAAATACAAAGGAATGTTTGTAGTAGGACATTAAAAATTGAGAACATTAAAGAGTTATTTTTTATTTTTATGAATGTCATATGAAATACATGCAGAAAAAACTATTTTGTTAGAATGGTAGCATTGTAGATTATATTCTATTTTCCAGGGGTTTTTTTCTTCATAGTAAAAAAAAAGATGAAAATTGTTCCATGGGTTTTGTCAGATCACCTCCTGTTGGGCTGGATTGTTATAACTGTCATGTACAGCATCTATAAGGCACGGTGGCTGAAAAGGCAGTCTTTGGAGACAGATCGTTTGAGTTCACAAGCCTGGTTCTACCATTTTCTAGCTTCATGACCTTGGACCGTTTACTTAACCCCTCTCTAAGTGTCAGGCCTCCATGTGCAAGCTGGGACCCAGAAAGTCTAAGGTCCTGCCTACCTCAGCTAGTCCCACTCTCCCCTCCCCGCCACTCCTTATGTACCTATTACACAGCTTGAACAAAATGAATGATTCATCCTATTATCCCACTCATATCCCTCACTCTGGATAATGCTGAAGTGATAATTTTCTCACTACAGCTGTAGTACTTTCATATGTATCTCTAAAAGATACAGGCCCTTTTATTTAATATAACCACAAAACCATTATCATACTTAAAAAGTTAGCAATAGTTCTTAAGGGAGCCATTTAAGGGCTTGTCCCAAGGTGAGCCTGCTACATTTCAATGATCAGGGGCCGAGCATTGTGGTTCACACCAGTAATCCCAGCACTTCGGGAGGCTGAGGCAGGAGGATGACTGGAGCTGAAGAGTTCAAGATCAGCCCAGGCAACATAGTGAGACTTTATTTCTACAAAAACTTTTAAAAGTCAAAATTTTTGATTTTAAAAATTAAATCAAGTGGTTTTCTTTTGCAGGCCTATAGTCTCAGCTGCTAGGGAGGCTGAGGCAGGAGGAACACTTGAGCCTAGGAGGTCCAGGCTGCAGTGAGCCATGACTGTCCCACTGCATTCCAGCCTGGGTGACAGAGTAAGATACTGCCTCAAAAGTAATAATAATAATAATGTAAAGTAAATATAGGATTAGAATGGGGCAACCTGAGAGCCCAGGCCTATCTGTCTAATGTCACCCACCCTTCCTCCAGCACTGAGAACAGGCAGCTCTGAGAACCACCTGAGTCGTCACCATCTGGGAGGTGTGGGCAGACTCAGCCCAGCGTTTTGCCTATGTAAGCACGGAAAGACCAAAGTGAGGGCTCCAGTTCTGGAAGAATTCTTCAAATAGACCTAAAACAAATCGCCTAAGAGGATGATGGAGGGTAATGGTTTTCAAACTGTGGTTCACAGGACCCAGGGTTCACTGAAAATGGAAGAGACAAGACGGATTGCAGAGGCTGGGCTCGGTGCCCCACCCAACCTAACAAGTGACTCCACTTTTACCTGTTTCAACTACTGGACTTCTAGAGCGGTGCAATATGAAGAAAGCATCCTGTGCCAAAATAAAGGTCTCTTGGGGACAGGCTCCTTTGCAGGTCAGGGAGGCCTCTGTGGGAGAGTGTGGGATACAGGCTCAGAGACCCCACTCCCTGCCTCCACCTGAGCTCAGAGCAGCCATGACCCTCAGACACATCGTCTGTAAAGTGAACACAGACAGCACAGTTCTTTGCAGGGATTGAGTGGAATGAGGAACACGACCACACCTAGCCCATATTGGGTATTTATGCATGTTAGCTGAATATGATCTAAATATATCTGCCAAGCTGATAAACTGCCATATTGAGAAGCTTGCAAGATAATATTTTTCAGAAAATTTGGAAAACTAGATAGTCTTTCTGCAGATTTGTGCATGTTAATTAATATACATTACCAGGTGGCTTTCCCATGACCTAATTTTAAGCCACAAAGAAATGAATCTGTGGCAAGTGGGTTCCAGTGCGGCGTTCAGAGTCACCTAGCCAGGTGGGCAGTGGCATGCTTCAGCAACCAAGGGTTATCTCCTAAAAAATGAGTCTCCTGAGCCCCTTGCCAGAGGTGAGGGGACTGAGTGACAAGTGTCCCAGATCCTGAGAATGTTTGGCAGATCTCAGGATGGGATTCTTCCCAAATATGGATTTTGCTTTTCATTGGACTTTTAGAAACATTTTGAAGTACAACTCACAGTGACTTCATCTGCATAGCATCGGGGCTTCTTTCCTGTTACCGGGGAAATGTTCATGATTTGTGGGGACTGATTCACTACGGTGTATCAAAGAGAAAAGATGGGTGGCAAGAGCACTGGTCTGTTTTGTTTTGATTTTGGGTGTGAGCAGAAAGAGAGGGGATGAGGGCATTCGGGTCACCAGGAGGGCAGTGCAGCCCGTGTCTTGCAGGGCGAATTTGTCTTTTGCTGAAGCACAGCTGAGCTCAGCTGGGACAAAGAATATCCCTTAATGTGTCTGAGTTTCTCACCCTGTTAGCTCTCTGGCAGCGGCAGCGCACAAATGGGGCTTTCTGGATTTTTCGCTGGCCTCCGGCTTCCCAGGCGAACCATTCTCCATCACCTGGCATAATGAGCTGTGACTTCTGCCGGATGAAACTAACATTGCTTCACAGCTCACCAGAGCAAATTTTGGCTCTTGGCCCAGATGAACCACCACTTCCCACTGCCCGTTATAAAAACAGGAATGGCATGCTTGCCTGGCACCTGTCAGTGCTGAGTTTTGACTGAAGGAATTTCTTTCATCCTCTGTTGTCATGGAGCTGTGGAAATATGAGCCTTCACGTGGGGTGTGCACAGGTGAAACTGCAAAGGCAGGCAGTGATTTGAACTGACGGCTCCTCTGACATTCAAATTCAGGCTCAGGAGGGCTCCTGCTTCTAACTCAGTCTCCATAGAAATCATACCCACAGATGGGCTTGGACGTGTGAAACCTCACCAGTGTGCTCACCAGCCTGGAGTAGCCCACTCCCACTGTCAAAAACCCTTCTTTCCCTTCTTCTCATCCCTCACCCTCATTTTCCTCAGACACACTCCATTGCTTCTGTCTGATTTCGGTAAAGAGATTTTTAACGGGCTCTCAGATTCGTGAAGAGCTGTCGCTCTCTGACACTAAAGGAGCCCCCATATCTCTCTAAACTTTTCTCAAACCAGGGACAAAATGAGAATTCCAAACTCCTCTTTGGATCCTTGGACAACTGAAACAGTTTACAAAATATATTCCTAGGAGCCAGTGGTGGTAACAGAGTTCTCTGTCCTGGGAAAGGAGGGTATAACTTGTCACCCCTTGGGGACTCTTCCCTTACTCTGAAAGGGCAATAACGTCACAGTAGACAAGGAGAAAAGTGGCAGCGGCTCTCCCATGCTCAGGTCCAGAACAGACCAGGGAACCGGAGGATGGTGAAAGTACGAACCTCAGTCTAAATGAAGCCGGGAATGTCCACTAGGGATTAGCGGGGGAATGGTCCATGGGAGAGCAGAGGTGTCCACATCCATCATAGGTAGAGAAGCGCTCACAGAATGCAGGATCTCTGACTCCCCATGGCCCAACCAAATTTAGACACGCTTTGTTCTTGTCACCTGTGGGACATTATGGGGTAAATGTGGAAGGAGGGAGGGCCGATCCTGCGTCTCACTGGCATTCATATTGTGATGTGGCTGCTCCTGACATTGCAGGTGACATAAGGAAGAAAAGCACTGCTGAGGTTAAAGGAGCTGATGGTTTCACAAGGCAAACAGCTCATCTGCCCCGGTCTGATGGGGAGAGGGCTGGACACGCTGAGGCCGCTCGAGTTGCTGTTCTTGACATTCACGCTCGACTCGGGTTCTCTGCTCCTGTCTTCACCCTCAGAGGAGTTGTTTGATCCTTTGGACGCCCACCCCTAGACACTCAACTGCACTACACCCCATGTCCAAGGCCACTCCCTGTTCCCTGTTCCCATGTTATCACTCAGCTCCGTTCCACCCAGACGATACCTCCGGGTCCCATCCTCACACTGACCCCATCCTTCCAGCCTCTGCACTGTCTTACTGCCCAAGCTCTTCCTCTTGCATCTCATCTCAGCGTGTGTCCCTAGACCAGCCATTCTCTCTGTCATGAGCTGCCTTCTGGTTTCAGTTCCTTCTCGGTCAGCCTGGAGTCGGTCACCACCACAGGTTTCCTCTGCCAAGTCCCAGGACTCTCTAGTCCTCCCATTGCACCTGTCCCAAAGAAGCCCAGCCTTAAAGCGCCCCGGCCACTTGCCCTCCTCAGCCTCCAGGTCCTGTTGGAGAACACCAGGCCCTGTGCACGCCAGTGCCACCACCTTGCTGGGTCCTTGATGCAGCTGGACAAGCACCACACACCTCTGCGGCCAGATTGCTGCTCCACCCACCCCCAAATGCTCACTCATGTTGCCTGTGCACCAAATTCTCCACTCCAAGGCCTTTCTCTTCATTTTTAGCAGTCAGTTTTGCTTCCTATTTCACTGAGAAAATGAAGGTCACAGGAAAAGGACTCTCCAAGCAGTGCCTCTCCACCCTCTCCCAGGGAGTCTTACAAATCTACCCCCATCTGCACCCACCTCGTAACTACCTCTCCTGGCCCATCCAGGTAGGCATGCCCTTCTGCCACTCAAGTCCATCTTTCCACCTGTGATGTGGAGCTCACCCTCAGTGCTTCCTCAAAGATCCTGCTCAGTTACCCGCTCCCATCCTGTTTTCTGAGGTGAACCATCACCGTCCCTAAACACTCTTTCCTCTAAGCCACGTAAACACTGTTGTCTATTTGTCTTACAGAAAAGCCAGACCACCCAAATCCCAAATCCCCATCCAGCTACCATCCACCCTTGAATATGTTTCTTCTCAGCAGACTGCAAACCACTCTCCTGAAATAGCTCCCCTTGACTTTGTCAGTGGTTTCCATCCTTTATTTTGCTAAATCCATTCGCTGCTTTTCTCTCCTTATCTTACTGGGTATTTAACACTGGCCTTATAGTTAGTACTCATGGTGGATCCCTCAGGTGGAAGCTCTTCCTTCCCTGGGCTTCTGAAACAGACATGCCCTGACTTCTAGGTTTCCTGCCGTGCACTGTCCACTTCTCGGCAATAGCCTTTATGCATTTGTCTTTCTCTGTTTACGTCTTAAAGACAATGTCTATAAGGTTTCCCTCTGGTCCTTTACACTTCTTACTCTGCATGCTCTTCTAGGGTGCTCTTTTTCTTTCTTTCTTCTTTCTTTCTTTCTTTTTTCTTTTTCTTTTCTTTTCTTTTTTTTTTTTTTTTTTTTGAGACAGAGTTTCACTCTTGTTCCCAGGCTGGAATGCAATGGCGTGATCTCAGCTCACTGCAACCTCGACCTCCCGAGTTCAAGCATTCTTCTGCCTCAGCCTCCCAAGTAGCTGGGATTTCAGGTATGTGCCACTATGCCTGACTAATTTTTTTGTATGTTTAATAGAGACAGGGTTTCACCATGTTGGCCAGGCTGGTCTCGAACTCCTGACCTCAGATGATCTGCCCGCCTTGGCCTCCCAAAGTGCTGGGATTATAGGCGTGAGCCACCACACCCAGCCCTTGCTCTTCCAGGGTGCTATTTCCACACCCGTGGTTCTAGCTGGCATTTGTACTCCAGAGTCCTTGCTGTCAGCCCTGGTCACTGTTCTGTGATTGGGACCTATTACTTATTTTGCATCTTCCCCGAATGTCCTACACACCCCACCCCGCTTATCACATGCAAAATTAAATTCATCTTCACCACTTACATTTTTCTTCCACCCTTGTGTTCTCTTGAGAAATACATCATCTTGCAAGCTATTGTCTAAGTTCCAGAACTGAAAATCATTGTGGTTACCTCCGTATCACTTCCATTTCTAATTACTTATTCATTTTTTAAAGCTTTCCCTGCATTTCCTCATCCTCCTTCCTACTGCCAACTTGTGAGGGCCGCATTCTACAGATGCCTCCCCCACCATCCCCTCCAAGAGTTATTCAAACACTAACCTCAGTGCTTCTGTGAAGGATTTTGCAGCGATATTAAAGTCTCACAGCAGCTGACATCAAGATCCAGGTGTGCCTCATGTAGTCACAGGAGCCCCTTAAAAGCAGAGTTTTCTCCGCTTTCAGAAAAGAAAAGAAAAAAAGCACAGGTAAGACCAGAGATGTACCGTTGCTGGCTTTGAAGATAGAGGGGCCGCATGCAGAGAAATGAGGCATGTGGAAGCTGGGTGTGGCCCCCAAGAATCAGCCACCAAGAAATGAGAACTTCAGTCCTACAACCACAAGACATCGAATTCTGTCAACAACCTGAATGAGCTGGGAGAGAACCCCCGACCCCTGGATGAGGCTGCAGCCACAGCCAATAACTACATTTCCCAGTGAGGCCTTGAGAACACCATCTAGCAGGCCCACAGAAACTGTGAGAGAATCAGTGGTAACGTTGCTCTTTGATTTGTGGTCATTTGTTAAGCAGCAACAGAAAAGGAAGACACAATTTCTTAGAACAGATTATCTTCCCTTGTCACCTTTTTTAACTAGCACCAGTGGAATTCCTTCCAATCCGTGATGAGAGGTGGTTTTCTAAAATGCAAATCTAGTGTCGTCATTCTTTCTCCCAACATTTCAGAGGCTTTCGTTTCTCAAATCCTTTACTGAGCTCTCAAGGCCCTTCAGAGTTGGACTTCCACCAGCCTTTCTGGCTTCCCTCTTGTACATCACAAATACCTTTCTCTCCCACCCACAAAGCAGACCGCACTCTCCGAATGGAGATGCAGTCTCCTGTTCTTCACCCATGTGACCCTGCCTGGACGTCCTTCCATCCTTCTCACTATACAGATAATTCCCACTCATCCATCAAAATGGAGCTTTCTGCTACTGCCTTCGGAAAGCCTTCCTTGACATATTCAGTTTGATTTCCATGTTTCTCTTTGCTGTTTTCATAGCATTCATTTTTGCATCTATCATAAGAGCTGACAATATGTGCAGACGGCGTTCTAAGTGATTCTGTCTGAAAGCTTGCTTCCACTTCATAGGAATGATTTTCAAGTCACAATAACCTTGTTACTATTATCTCCACTTTTATGGCAACTGCTGTAGTTGGGATGTTTGCCCCCTCCAAACCTCATGTTAAAATTTGATTCCCGGCGTTGGAGGTGAGGCCTGATGGGAGGTGTTCGGGTCATCGGGACGGATCCCTCAGTATGTCTTGGTGCTGTCCTTGGAACAATGAGTGAGTTCTTGTGCTGTTAGCCCCCACAAGGACTGATTGTGGAACAGGGCCTAGTTCCTGTTCCTCTCTCTCTCTCCATGTAATCTCTACATGCTGACTCCCCTTTACCGTCCACCACAAGTGGAAGCAGCCTGAAGCCCTTGCCAGAAGCAGATGCTGGCACCATGCTTCTTGTGCAGCCTGCAAAACCATGAGCCAAATAAACCTCCATCCTTTATAAATTAGTTGGCCTCATATATTTCTTTATAGCAATGCAAAATGGACTGAGACAATTGGGAAACTGAGATTAAGTAAATTTCCAAGGTCACACAATCATAAGTAATAGAACTGGGATTTGAACTCAGGCAATCTCTGAATCCTTATACTATAGCACTTATTAAGCTATACTTTAATCAATGGCATAATTACCTAACTCCTTCTTTATACTGTGAGTTCTTTTGAAGGCCAAAGTCAAGTTTTAATCACTGCCTGTCCCCTTAACTAGAAAAGTGCCTGACTCTCAATAGGTATGTTTTGAATGAATGAGTGGGAAAATTATGGCACTCTTGGTTCTCAAGCTCCAAAGTGCCTCATGTTGGAAGGCCCACTTTAAAGGCTGTCTCTGAATCACAATTATTAAATAGTCACGATCGTAGGAAATAAAGTTGGATAGAGTTTTTCCTTTTCAACTTGATCCCATCCCTCTTTATCCCATTTAGCCAAATTGCTGGTACTTGGTATTTCCAAATAAATGTCTAATGAGTGCTTATTGGACAATGCATTTACTCGTCAAATGTGATTGAAAAGCCATTCTCCCTTGTCAGCCTCACAACCATCACCACCACCAAATTAAGAACATAAAACAGGTGCCATCTAATGAAAAATTCAAGAGGAACAGCATAGGTGAGAAATAATCTAGCTGTCTCAAACACGTAATTACTAAGGGAAGGTAGAATAAATGCCTCAACAGTGAGGTGGTCCTGGTGGAGGAAGACTTCTGGAGTTGAGCTTCAGGCCCATCAGTAGGAAGAGGTATGGACACTGACCCATGGAAGCCTTGCTAGAGCAGGGAAAAGTGTCAGGAGGAAGGAAAAGAGAAGTGCAGGGCAAAGCATGTCAAGACACGGAATGCATGGACTGGACCAGAGCAAATGGGCCAGATGATGAAGGGGAAGGTTGGGAGCCATGTGGAAGACCAAGTCCAGGCCAAGGTACTCAATACTGTTTCCAATGGTGTTGGAGCTTGTGTGTCCTGAGGTGACAGGAGAGCCTTAGATGCCCATGAGTGGGCACTGGCCCCAGTTCCTGGTCATATCTTTGCTCCTTGCTGTTCTCCCCCCGCCCCTTAGAAAGCTTATTATCACTTTCTGCCTCTGCCATTTCGGCACCCAGCCTGCCTCTGGGCTGCACTCCTAGACACTACCTGATCCACCTCTGCTTCTTCTAGAAGCCTTTGCTGTGCTGGACAAAATTTACACAGAGCAACCCTAGATTCCTAGGCAGAGGGGTGCTGGGATATTGAATTAGTCCATTTTCACAATGCTGACAAAGACATACCCGAGACCAGGTAATTTAGAAAAGAAAGAGGTTTAATTGGGCTTACAGTTTCACACGGCTGGGGAAGCCTCACAATTATGGCAGAAGGCAAGGAGGAACGAGTCCCATCTTACATGGATGGCAGCAGACAGAGAGAGAGATTGGCCAGGGAAACTCCCCCTTACAATACCATCAGATCTCATGAGACTTATTCACTATCATGAGAACAGCATGGCAAAGACCTGCCCCCATGATTCAATTACCTCCCACCAGGTCCCTCCCACAACATGTGGGAATTCAAGATGAGATTTGGGTGAGGACAGAACCAAACCATATCAGATGTCAAGGGTCTACGAGAACCACTAAACCAACAAGATGTGGACTTCATGCACTGGAGAAAGGTCGTGGATTAAAAACTATTTCTTTTATTCCTAGACCTTTAACTGGATTATGTGACATGAAAGAGATCCTTCAGTCAGTGGATCATTCATGACTAAGTGCATAAGATTTTGTGAGTTTTATTAGCTAAACTCACTAGATGTGCTTTGCCATTGATTAATGGACCCTATTTTAATTTCACCTTTTTATAAAACCACATTCAAGAAAAGAACAAGAAATCTGAAACCTGCATCAGAATATGTCTTGAGTCTTCTGGAATACTGATCCACAGGCTGTGGCAGACACAGGTCCAGCCTTGTTCTCAACTCTTCCCTGCTGATGAAAACAGTATCTGATATGGCCAAGGCACAGTGGCTCACACCTGTATTCCCAGCCCTTTGGGAGGCTCAGGCAGATGGATTGCTTGAGTCCAGGAGGCGGAGTTGCAGTGAGCTGAGATTGCACCACTATGCTCCAGCCTGGATGACGGAGGGAGTGGCAGTCTCAAAAGAGAGTATGTGATATGGACTTAATAAACTTCTCCAGGGACCTACTTAAGATGGCACGTTGAGAACAACCCAGGATTGAAGCTCTCAGTGAACACGTGGAGGATGAGTCAGGGCCTCATTTCCAGACAGATCTTTGTTGCCCACAGAAAGGGAAAATTTCCAGGTATAAAAGAGACGTGGGACGCCCCCAAAGCGGTTTTGGCTGGTGCAGCCAGCAGCCGGTGCTGCAGTGCAGCAGCGCTCCACAGCACTCTGCACAAAGCGCACTGGTCCAGGTGCCCTGTTGAACCGGCAATCTGAGACTTGAGAGAGCAGATTGTCATATCCATCTGATTGAACAGGACTTGGACAGTGAACCAGGCCAGGAGATTACAGGGAAGCGGCATTTGGGCCAGGGCAGTGGGACAAACAAAATGGCGATTCCAAATGCTCCGGGTGGAGAGTTTCACTGCTGGCACAGCTGAACCCAGGATGGTGCAGCTCGGTGGGGGAGGGGCATTTGCCATTACTGAGGCAACCCGCCCCTACTGAGGTACACTCCCATTGCTGATGCAGCCTGCTGTTGCCACAACAGAAAGACTCCACCGCAGGGCATAGCCCGTGGCAGCAGGGTGGAGACCGCAGCAGCAGGGCAGAGCCTGCAGCAACAGGGCGGACCTCACACCTGCAGGGTGGAGCCTCGGCAGGCAAATAGTGACTAGACTGCCTCCTAGCTGGGCAGGACAGCGCAACAGACACATAAAGAAAACCCCAACCCCCTGAGACAGAGCATCTGAGAAAAAAAGGGGTTTTTTTAATGAGTTCTGCTGCAGCAGAATTAAGTGTAGCAGCCTAACAGCCCTGAATGAACAACAGAGCTCACAGATCAGCACTTGAGCTCCTATAAAGTACAGACTGTCTCCTCAAGCAGCTCCCTGACCCCTCTATATCCAGAAGCCTGACATTTGGCCGGCATCATTCTGGGACAAAGATAGCAGAAAAAGAAACTGGTAGTATCCCTCACTGTTCCACAGCTGCTATAGGTGCACCCCAGACAAGCAGGGCCTGGAGTGGACCTCAGCAGTCGTACAGCAGAGGGGCTAGACTGGTAGAAGGAAGACCAAGTAACAGAAATACTTCATCATCAACAATCTGGGCATCCACTCAGAGACCCAATTGAAAAGTCAGCAACTACTCAGATGACAGGTGGATAAATCCACAAAGATGGGAAGAAACCAGTGCAAAAAGGAGGAAAACACCCGAAACCAGAACACCGTGACTCCTACAAAGGATCAAAACTCCTCACCAGCAAGGGAACAAAGCTGGACAGAGAATGACTGTGATGAAATGACGGAATTAGACTTCAGAAGGTGGATAATGAGAAACTTTCGTGAGCTAAAAGAACATGTTTTAAATCAATGCAAAGAAACTAACAACCTTGAAAAAAGATTTGAGGAAATGATAACAAGAATGGATAACTTTGAGAGGAATATGAATGAATTGAAGGAGCTGAAAAACACAATACGAGAACTTTGCAAAGCATGCACAAGTTTCAACAGCCGAATTGACCAAGCAGAAGAAAGAATATCAGAAGTCAAAGATCAACTCAATGAAATAAAACGAGAGACCAAGATTAGAGAAAAAAGTGCAAAAAGGAATGAACAAAGTCTCCAAGAAATGTGGGACTATGTGAAGAGACCTAACCTACGTTTGATAGGTATACCAGAATGTGACGAAGAGAATGAAACCAAGTTGGAAAATACTCTTCAGGATATTATCCAGGAAAATTTCCCCCACCTAGCAAGGCAGGCCAACACTCAAATGCAGGAAATACAGAGAACACCACAAAGATATTCCGCAAGAAGAGCAACCCCAAGGCACATAATCGTCAGACTCACCAGGGTTGAAATAAAGTAGAAAATACTAAGGGCAGCCAGAGAGAAAGGTTGGGTCACCCGCAAAGGGAAGCCCATCAGACTCACAGCAGATCTCTTGGCAGATACTCTACAAGCCAGAAGAGGGTGGGGGCCAATATTCAACATCCTTAAAGAAAAGAACTTTCAACCCAGAATTTCATATACAGCCAAACTGAGCTTCAGAAGTGAAGGAAAAATAAAATCCTTTGCGAACAAACAAGTACTCAGAGATTTTGTCACCACCAGACCTGCTTTACAAGAGCTCCTGAAAGAGGCACTACACATAGAAAGGAACAACCAGTACCAGCCATT